CCCCAATCCTGAACTGCCCCCCCCCCCTCGACCTCAACCCCTTGGCAACCGCAGTGGCCCCGGAGATTGAGCTGCCTGAGCTGGAGGGCAAAACCGCCAAGATGTACCGCGGCGGCAAGATCTGCCTCACAATACACTTCAAGCCGCTCTGGGCTAAGAACAGGTGGGCCGCGCGAGACAGAGGCGCAATGTTGCGTGGCCAGCCGGTCTCTGGGGCCTGCAGCAGCTCGGCAGCTGCGCTTCGCTGCGGTCGCTGCTCCATAGCACGTTCGTGAGGATTTGCGAGGTTGCCGTGTTGACCAAACACCGCTCCTCCTCCCCGTCGCCCCTTGTGCCCACCACAGCCCGCACTTCGGGTTTGCTCACGCACTGTGCCTGGGGCTGGCGCCCTGGTTGGCGGCGGAGGTGCCATACCTAGTCGAGGCGGGTGAGTTTGGGCGGCAACCGTTGAATGGCCGCCGTCACAGACACTGCTGTGCAGCTGTGGCGAGGAACGCGCCGCTGGAGGTGGGAATGCTACCCACGGCGTTGCATGACCGCTGCTGCTGCCCATGCCAGGGCCTGCAACCACCAGCCCTGCCACAAAAATCATGTTTTGTCTCCCCATTCCGGGGCCTCGCTGGTCTGCAGGGGCGATTCAGCCCAAGGTGTGAGGGAGAGTGGAGAGGGGAGCGGCTGGAATGGACTTGATCCGACGGCCAATGCAGCGGCCACAGCAGGGGCCTGGTTGGAGCGATGCGCCGCTGCAACAGCGGCCAGCTCAGCCGCCTGTGTTGATCACCAGCGCTTTGTGCAGCTCTGCACCCGGCCTAGGGTCTGTTTGTGTAAGAGTCACATCAGAACAGCTCTGACAATAAACCAAGGTCCATAACGCAAGCGGCGATGAGATGCTAGGCTGTGCAACTGGCTTGCTGTGGCTCAAGATACTAAACACGTGTGAGGTGTCGCATGCGTGCATAGAGCACACCAGACACCCACCAGGCTTCCATGCGCCAGCCAACCGGTCCTCACAAACTGCCGGCCTGAACAAATTGTTTCCTGAATGAAATGTAGCACAAACCATGTGTCTGATCCGTAAGCACCAGTAATCCCCTGCGGCCAGCCAACGGACGGACCAGTCACGTGCGTCATGGGTGAGCGCAAGTCATGCATGTCATGGGTGGAGCCGCCTGCCAGTGCCTGCATGCAGGGGGGTGGGCGGTGCCAACGAGGATCCCGCCCGCCCCGTGAGACATGCCTGGTAGCGCATGGACACATCAAAGCCTTTCGTGTGGAGCGTCGTGTATTGCTTGTTGATTGGCACGGCGTTCCCGAGTTCGCGGCCACTTGCCAAGCTGGCACTCGTGTTGTTTCAAGAGCTTACAGACACATCGGTGAGTGGGTGTATGGTATTGGTTTCGTTAACATCTCGCGTAGAAGCGGCGTCTGGATGAGGGATCAGCTGCAAACTCCTTCCTGCGAGCCAAGCGTCAACCAAGGCCTGCATCACAAGGCTAGCTCTCACGCCTGCTGGGGACAGACTGAAGCACCATGTACTTGTAAACCGCCTGAAGGTGGGACGGGTCGCGGGCGGCGGGCTGTGGCCACCCGGGTGCTGCATACGTGGTGTGGCGATTGCCCCTCCCCAGACGTTGTCATACGTGCACTTGTTCTCGGGTTTTTGATCAGCCGTGAAAAACCCAGGGCACGTGCCCCACCTCTAGGGCTGCGAGACATTCGAGCTACAGCAGGCATGGGGCGGAGACCGATCCTGACCGGCCCCTGTACGCAGGCAAACTGGCGGCATGAGTAGTCAGAGCCTTGTGCCGGTGCTGGTGGGCCCCTCCGGAGCTGATGCTGCGACCCTCGGCCATGTCTGGGCGGCGGCGGTCGGTCTGCCCAGGCGCAGTGGCGGCAGCGACGGCGCCAGCGGTGGCGACGACGCGTTGCCTGCGCGGCGGCGCAGCAGGAAGCCCCTGAAACCTACCGCTGCGGCTGGTGATCTGCCGCCACTGCTGCCCGTGCTTGCCCCGCCGGCAAGGCCACAGCAGCATGCCCACACGCATCAGCAGCAGCGGGCCCCCCGCACGGGCGCGGCTGCGCGCCGCGCCAGCGCAGCTGCGGCCGGCGATGACACAGACGATGAGGACTATGCGCCGCCGCAGCGCGCCGCTGGCCGCACCAGTGACGGCGGCGCTGGCAGGGTGCCCCGCCCCCAGGGCGCCGCCGCGCCCCCCAGCGCACCCGCAGCCGCGCACGCCGCGGCCCGCGGCGGCGGCAGGGCGGGCGCGGCGATCGGCTCGCGGCTGCTGTCGCAGCGCGCGCTCGCGCCCAAGGCCGCTGGTGGGCCGTCCGCGCCGGCCGGCGCCAGCGGGTTCTTCGGCGTTTCGTGGTCAAAGAACAAGCAGCGCTGGGACGCCTGCTTCCGGGCGTGCGACGTGAAGCTTTTCCGCCGCAACTACCACACCGCCGAGGAGGCCGCGCGCGCATGGGACCTGGCTGCCCGTGAGCGACCCGCACGGCCGGCGGCGCCGCGCGAGCGCGTTGACCGGCGGTCAACTCGCGCGGTCAAACGCCCCTCCTGTGCAATCGCGGCGCCGCCGCCACCCGCCACCCGCCGGCGGTGCGCCCTGTGCAATGGCTTATCCGCCGCCCGCCGCCTCCCACATCGCAGTCGCCGTGCGCGGCCCAGAGGCGCGAACAAACTTCCCGTCGGCGGATTACACAGATGCTGAGGTGGCAGCCATGGAGGACCACATCCGCGAGCGGCATCCGGCCTTCCCTCTTGAGAAGGTCAAGATGGCGTACAGGTGAGTGCTGACACGTGGCTGCATGATGACCGTATTCACATCTCGTTGGGAAGTCTGGCAGGGGTCGCCCCACCATGCGAGCCGCGCATGGTGCGACCCCGCACGCGGCAAGGCCCGGGGAAGCTATGTTGCAGGACCAGAGCACGTCGCGCGCGCAGCTTGAGCCTCGGCGGCGTGGCGCTCGCCGCCGCGGCGCCGCGCGCAAACCGATAAGATACACGTTGCTTGCACCATCGCGCATGGAGACGCCTGGGAATCGGGTCTCACTTGTTTGTCGTGCTACCCTGGGGTCGCCAACCCTCTGTTCTCTGGAGCAACGGGTGTAGAGCTCCCTCACCCTGCTCCCCCTGCTCGGCCGCCCGGCGGATAGTTGTCTGCTCGCACAGTAAGCTCACGCGCCTAGTCGCACACAACCGCCGCCGCAGGACCTGCCCAAGCTCCAACCACCATAATATGGCCCCCCTGCCCGCCGCCGTCCAGCAGCTGCTCGCGGCCAGCGCCACGTCAGCACGCGCCAGCAGCAGCGACAGCCGCGGCGACAGCGCCGCCGACAGCGGCAACCGCGGGGGTGCGGACAGCGACGCTGAGGCGTGGCCGGAGGGCGCCGGCGACGGCGGGGGCGCGCCGGGCGCGGCGGCGCGGGCAGGCGGCGGTGGGGAGGGCGGCGAGGCGTTTGGTGGCGAAGAGCCGGGCGTGGTACCCGCGGGCAACAGCAGCCACTTGCCGGACCGCAACGGGGTGGACAGTGGCGTGGCGGCGCCGCTGCCAACTGGAATTTCGGCCCACGCGGCGCCCCCATCTGGCCCTGGCATAGTCGAGCAGGTGCCTGCACTAGAGTCTCAGGGACAGCAGCAGGAGCAGGAGCAGGAGCAGCAGCCGCAGCCGCAGTCAGAACAGCAAGAGCAGCCAGAGCAGCTAAAAGGGCAGCAGCGGGAGCAGGGGCAGCAGATTGCGCAGCGTGCGACGCTCGAGCTGGTGCAGCAGCAGCTGCTGCTCCTGCAACAAGCAGCCGCGCAACTCGCGGGCAGCCGCGGCGCCCAGTGGGCCCTGCAACAGCAGGCGCGCGTCGAGCCCGCGAGCGGCAGCGCCTCCCCAGCCCGCAAGCGCAGGAGCGGCCCCCGCACCGGCGCCTCGTCCGGCGGGGCCGCCGCTTCGGCCGCGGCCGCTTCCGCCGGCACCGGCGCCGCGGCGCCGCCCGCGCCGCCGCAGTGGGCGGGCGACAGGCCCGGGCAGAGCAGCCTCTTCAACGGCGTGTGCCACAAGAACGGGAGGTGGGCGGTCAACATCAAGATCGGCCGCAGCAGCGTCTACGTGGGCACATACGTAGATGAGATCGAGGCGGCGCGCGCATGGGACTGCGCGGCAGTGGCGGTGCGCGGCGTCGACACGCGGACCAATTTTCCAGTGGAGAACTACACTGTAGAGGAGGTTGCCGGCATGGCTGTCGTGCTGCACGAGCGGCAGCCGCATCTGACCTACAGCTGGACCGCCGGCGGCGCCGCCGCGATGGCCGCGCGGCGCGCGGCGACGGGGCGCGGCTGCGCGGGGAGCGGCTGGGGCGGCGCGACCGCGATGTACGCGGCG